AATATCCAATGTTTAAAATTATGAAAAAATAGGATTTTCATATATTGTTGGAGAGCATATATTTGTCTAGCCTTTATTGAAGAGTAATTGGTAATTATATATTAAAACTTTAAATGTAGATTTACTATGACTCAGCAATTCCACTCCCAGGATAATAATTCTATTGAAAAGACCAAAAATCAGTGTATAAGGATATTCATTATATCATTGTTTATAATAGGGAAAACTGGAAAAAGACAAAATGCACATTAATAGAGGATTGTTTAAATTCAGGATGCCATAGACCCAAATATAACTAGTATCTTGTGGTCTATTTTTCATAAGGAATTGTATTCAAAATAAAATAACTTAGTATCTTTTCAAGAACATTGACAAGGTCTAATCATAACTCTTGGCTCCATTGAAGAGTTTATCCCTGTTATATAGCCTTATAGTTGAATACTTAGAGCGCTATATGTCAGATGGAAGAAATAAGGTCCATTGACATATATGGACACAGAACAATATCTAAAATATGTTGCTAATTTTTAAAAATGTTATAAAATAAAATAAAATATCTAGTATGATCTCATTCAAGTTTTTAAAAATATAAAGGCTTCCAACTTCAAGTAATGGCAGAGTAATGTGGATCAGACTAAACCTCTCACTGATAATAACTATAAACTCTGTTTACATACCTGCTTCAAGGCACTGTAGGACTGAGAACAGGCACAAATTGAGGAGCTATAATCCATATTTAACTTGCTTTTATCTGCAGACATTCAGTAGTCCTCAGAGCACAGACTTATCGAACTAAATAAAGAAAGGCCAGTGCACAGGGCTGCCAGAGCAACTGGGAATTGAAGGGACAGGGAAGTCCCAGAAGGTTAGGACTAATAGGAGGGAGGCCCCAGATCTATGTACAAAATCTTCTCAAAACCTTGGCTAACACTTTAACTGCAAATGCACAGGGCAAGACTCCAAGGAGCGTAGCAGAAAACAACAGCTGTAAGGCTGAAAGAGCTGAGCAGAGATTTCAGCAGCTGCCTACTGCAAGAGAAAGAATTTGAAGTTAAAACCTACAAAATTGGAAGGGCTTGAGGTAATAGACATCTCTTTCATTCCTATGATATGCCAGAAGCATCATACTTAGATATGAGGACCACATCCCAGGACTCTGAGCTGTATCCTAGGACTAAGGACAAAAAAGAAAATACAGCCAGCCTAGTGAAACCTAGAAACGAACCTGCAAATAATTAAGGCTAGCCACAAGAAATTTAGCTGCCTTCTTGAACAAAAGCCAATACTCATCAGAGGAAGATAACAAAATTTAGATTTTTCTCGATGTATCGTTTGCAACGTCCCGTATAGAATAAAAACTACCAGACACACAAAGAAGCAGAAAAAGTGAGACCCTCACACAGGACAGATGTTGGAATTAGCATTTAAGGGCTTTAAAGTTACTATTATAAGTGTGTTAAAGAATTTACGGGAAAAAACATGGATATAATGTGTAAAAATATGAGGATTTCAGGAAAAAATATGAAAATGGTTAAAAAGAACCATATGGTAATGATAAAATGAAAAATACAATATCTGAAATAAAAAATACTATATTTGATAAAATATTGGGTGGGATTAACATGTTTGAAGATGGCAAAGAAAATATCAGGAAACTTGAAGAAAAGTCAACAAAAATCACCAAACTCAAGAGAAAAATTTTTTTTTTAAATGAACAGAGCCTTAACCTATAGGAAAAGAAGGTGTCTAACATACATGTCATTCAGAAGTAGAGGAGCGCATTAAAGGAACAAAGAATATTTAGGGAAGTTTGGTTGAAATGTTTCCAATTTGATTAATATTAATCTATAAATGTAACACGCCAAGTAAAACACAAGCAGAAAAAACAAAAAGAAATCCATATCAAGGCACGTCATGTCAAATGGCTGAAAACTGAGGATGGAGAAAAAAGTCTTAAACATCCAGATAAAAGACGCATCATATACAGAATAATGATTGACTAAAGATGGTTCATCAGAATTGGGGAGGGGCAGGCCTTCCCAGACCCTCTTCCCAGCAAAACAACAATTTAATTCATGAAAATTTAGATGTATATATACATTTTTCTATATACATATGTATATATAGTGTTCTTTTATATTCTTTATTTTAAATTGATATTTTAGAGCGGTAAATTATCTTCCATAGCAGTGCCCCCTGGTCTGATAATACAGTACCCCACTCCCAAATGTAGAGATTTAATATAATGAACATTAAGGCATACAAACAGCTACTTTAAATCTGTTCTTATTTAATAAGGATCATTTTAACTCATTCAAATACATGGAATATTGGCATAAAACTTGAAGCTGCTGTAGAAAGATCACAGATGTTCTGTGGGTTGGGAAACTTCCATTTCTCTAAAAACATACCCTTAAGTCATCTTCATTTTACAAATTAAGTGTTAAGAAAATGTCTAAATAACAAGTAACAATTAAAGTGTTTATTTGTAAATTATATGCAGAATACATTTTACTTCAGGACAAGGAAATGGGAAGATGTGGCTTGCATTCTCTGCTGGAGATGACTGACCATCTTTCTCTGAGTCACACGTACAAACCAGTTAGGATTTCCCAAGCTGGAAAAGGAGAACCTGTAGCTAAACTCAAAGTGCTGTTGCAGTATTACTAGGTGGCTTGTTCCCACAAAATGCCTTTGAACCCTGTTAACTCAGAATCTTAGAAATTTCCTAGTGTAATTCTATGATCAACAAAAGCTTAACTGTCAAAAACAATGAGTTTAAACATTTCATCTAGAAGAAACTGTGAAATGGCTCCATAACTATACATAATCTGAAATGTTGTTTCTTTTTTTAGTTATTTTATTTATTTTGAGTAATCTAACAGTAAAAAATGGTTACATCAAAAATGCCATTGTGGAAATGTCGTTATGGAAAGTGCATCTTTGACAACTATCAAAATTAATGAGACCTACTTAGTATAAAATTATCAAATAGATAAAACTTGCCCTGGCCAGTTTGCTCAGTGGTTAGAGCATCAGCCTGAAGGCTGAAGGGTCCCGGGTTTGATTCTGGCCAAGGGCGTGTACCTGGGTTGCAGGCTCGATCCCCTGTCCTGGCCGGGCCGTGCAGGAGGCAGCCAATCCATGTGTCTCTCTCACATCGAAGTTTCTCTCTGCCTCTCTCTTCCCCTGTCTCTGGAAGGCAACGGGAAAAATAGCCTCAGGTGAGGGTTAAAAAAAAAAAGATAAAACTTATAAATGGCTTTGGACTGTGCCAGTAATAGTATTCTATGAAATGAAGGCCAATAGTCCTTGGATGCCAAATACTGTTCAGTGAAAGGAGGTAAAGAGCCCCACCCGTGTCGGGCGCGCATCCCGGGGCTCGGCCAGCACAGGGAGCCCGACCTCTCGCGCCGTTAGGCCCCAAATTCGGCAGCTGGCGAGTTTTCTCGCGGCGATTCCGTTGTTTCTGCATCATTGCCATCTTTTCCTCTTCATGGCCCCATCTGTTTGCTGTTCCAGTTCCTCTTTCGTGATCATTTCAGAATCATTCCCATTTCCAATGCCGTTTCCAGGAGGGTGGGCCGTCGTCCCCGTCGCCGTCTGTGAGGACACTGTTCCCCTGAGCCTTCTGTTCCGCGCCCCCCGCCCGGCGTTGGCTTTGGCTCTTCCCTGCTCATCTTTCCTGTCGCCGCCAGGCCGCTGCCTGTGGTCCTTTCTCTGTCCGCTTTTGGTCCCTTACACCTTTACACTCTTCCGTGCACAGAGGCCTGAGGCCCCCGTGCAGCCCACGTTAGCAGTAGGATTTGGCGAGAACCCCACGTGGCGCCTTCCTCGGCTTGTGACCCAAGGGACGAACAGCAGAGCGCGACAAGCAGCAGCAGGAGGCGCCCGCGCCGAGGTGAGCACCTGCTGTGGTCCCTGGGCCCCCCCAGGACCCTCCCGGACAGAGGCCGGGCAGCCGACTGCGCCCCGATCCTCGCCAGCACCTCCTTTCCACCCAGAAAGACATGACCCTCATGGGCTCAAGCTTGAATTTCTTCTCAGTTTCCATCTTTCTGGGATCCCAGTTCCTGGAGTTGCCACCTTTTGGGAACCTTCATTTTCACCATCTTTTTTTTTCTTCCCTTCCCTTTTTTTTTATGTCTTTATCATACTTCATTTTCATGACTTTTAGTGCCCTGTGGAAAAACTGTTTCTTATTGATTGATTTATTTATTAGGAAAAACTGCTTCTTTCAAAGCCTGCCACTGTTGTCAGCCAGACTCCCTACCCTTCCCTTCTTCAGATTGTTCACCAACTTCCTGAATTTGCTTCTTGCATCCGAAAAATATGGTTTTAAATAAATCATCCCAAGTCTCCGGAAATTGTCCTAAGGGCGTGCAGCAAATGGAGAAATATTCATTCAAGAAAATCTACTAAATCTAGGCAAGAACAGCGAGCGTCTGTGGCACTTAAGCCACAACCGCTCCATTCCCCCAGCTCGGCCCAGCTCTGCCAGGGAAGCTGTGCCCTGGCCCTGTGATCAAGAGGATGGGAGGGCTCCCCCC